TATAGCCTTTTGGGGTTCTAATTCGAATGAAGGTAATTTTATGTGTCTCATAAAATTAATGGCAAAAACGGTTCCAACTTTACGTGCATACATGGATAACAACGAAAAATTGCGGAGAAAAAAATCAGATAAAATTTCGAGACCTTATATAAATTTACTGTCATATGGCCACGTGAAAAAAATAACTGAAATTATTAAGATAAAAATAACAAATATTCAAACAATTAAAGAGAATCGTGCCTATAGCATCATATTAGATGGAACATATGATGTGTCTAAAAAAGAATGCATAGCTTTGCTTGTACGGTATATAGAAGATGATCTGCATCCACATCCTGTAGAAAGGATCATACATGTTTTTACAACATCAGAAACCACTGGGGAAAATATAAAGAAACATGTTTTTTCTAAGTTTAATGATCTTGGTCTTCCTCTTGAATTGGTTGGACAGGGAATATGAGAGGAGTATACAAAGGAATGCAGGCTTTAATATTGAAAGAGGCTCCAAAAGCCATCTATATTTGGTGCCATGCACATCGGCTAAATTTAGTAGTTGCTCATGTTTGTGGATGCAAAATTGAAATGAAAAAGGCAATGGGAATATTAGATGAGTTATATAATTTTATGAATGGAGTTAGACGTCAAGGTGTGTTTGTTAAATATCAAATGAGAAAGTCCAAGAAATCTCTTAAAAGAATTAAAAACACAACAAGGTAAATAAAATATTTTTAATGAAACTTGAAACTTATATATTTTCAGAAATTGGTCATCATCCTACAAATCTGTAGAAATCTTTTTAGATGTTTATGAACATATTTTAGCATCATTAGTTGAATTAAAAGATTCTAATGACCCAAGCACCTCTTCCATTGCCGATGGGTTATTATCAAGAATTAAAGATGAAAATTTTATATTAAGTCTTTTTATTTTGAAAGAAATATTGAAATGTACACATGAGGCTTGTATTGAAATGCAGGCAGTTGGTAATGATTTGGCTTTGGTAACCAAATTAATACAACATACAAAAAATAAATTACAAAAACTAAAAGGTTAATATTAGTTACTATTTCTATAAATAATTTTAAAATATAGCTAATGGAGACAATATATTTTTAAAATTACATTCCTTATCTAATAGTTGTTTGAAAAAGAATAATGTAATAACTGATTTGTATAATATGAAATCAATATTCAAATTGGATCAAACAGAATTCAATAATTATGTTGAACAAAAAAAAACAAGTTGAATAAATTAAAAAAATTTAAATTATTATTTATTATTATAGATATAGAACGGAAATATTTTTCCCTGTTCTAAATGCAATAATTAATCACCTAAATGATCGATTTAATTATGATTGTTTAAATTTTTTATCACAGATATCCATTTTTACTCCCGCTGGAATTATGGATAATGAAAAAATAGAAGGATGGCAAATATCCGAAATTTGTAATACTTATCAATTGGATGTCCAAAACATTGTTGATGAATATAATGATTTTCGCTCTTTATATTTGGAGTCTCAATCAATCATTTTTTGTGAAGATCTTTTAAAAGTTAAAAAGAATGACTCGTTATATATTGATGAAAGTAATTTATTGATATTTTATTTGTAATTGTATATAATTAAAGGTATTGCAAACGATCAAATTACCAAAGAAAATATCAACAGCGAAATCATGACCAAAATAAAAAAATGGATAAAATTTTCTTTTATATTACCATACCGACTTTTAAATCAATTAAATTCTTATTCAAATTTAAATTTATTATATAAATATTTATTAACCCTTCCTACAACTTCCTGTTCAGCCGAAAGAGCCATGAGTAAAGTAAAAATTAACAAAACTCGAATGCGGAATAAAATTTCGGACCCATTTTTGGAAAATTTACTGTTAATATCCAGCGAAATTGATGTTTTTGAAAAATTTACAATTGATGATATTATAACACAATTTGCTTTAACATCAATAAGGTTATCCAAATTATAAATAAAATAATTAATGTATCTTTTTCACAGCGAATATATAGGCTTTTAAATAATGTATATTTAATTTAACATTTTATAATTTCAATGCAAAATATACTATAATTCATTTTATTCTAATATTTTATATAATAGCTCTATTTATAATACATGTTTTTAATTATGTGGAATCAAGCTAAATATACCTCTTTAAATTTATTCGTCTTATATTTTTTACAATATTTTAGATCTTTTTCATAGAAATATTAATATGTTATCTCATTTAATTCACTTATATATATTTTATGAAAATAAAGTGAATACCAAATTATGAAAAGATTGCATTATTTAAATAAAAGTTCATTATCACTTACAAATTTTAAATTTTTTCCCTAAATAGGCTTGAAAGATTGTAAATAGAATTATGTTGTAAGGTTATAAATGGTGGCAGATAAGATTTTTTAAATAAAATCACTATAACATCGTAGGTCTGTAAATTTTGCGGCCGAAGGCCGCAGGATTTTTTTTAGGTGGGTATGGGTTGATTTTGGAGGGGTTTGCCTCCATCAAATTTTCTGCCATGTAGACGCTGGTCATTGAATAATTTAAAAAAAATTTATAATTTTATATAATATTTTTTAATGTTAAAAGGGAGTAGACTAATAAATTAGAATTCATGCCACACAATGCATTCATCCTTATATATTCTAAAAATAATTTTTTCATATTCACAATTTTTTGATAGTTTGTAGTAGAACATTAAAAATTTAGGATATTAATAATAAATATATGAAAATAATGATAAAGTAAATAATAAATGGGAATATCTCCTTCGAATAATTTCTTAAGAGGATATATATTAGTTGGGGAAAGGGGGTATCTCCAATAAATTTTCTTCCATGTAGACGCTTTACATATCTTTCAATTTAACCAACTTAATTATAAGTAATCTCTCTAAACTTTTATCTTAACCATGATCTATGGCTCTCTAGATTTTATAATTTTACCCTCAATTAATATATTTAATATTCAAATTAGGAAAGCTTAGTCTTCTTTATTTTGAGTAAATTAATGTTAGCCAAAAGATTGGTTTAGTTTTGTTTCACTAATTACCATATTTTTTAAATGCATAGTAAAGCCATTCCCGTTCAAAAGCGTGGCCTGCAGGCCACTCAAATTTTTAAAATAAACTGTGTTGGGCAAAAATTTAATGATCCGGGTTAATTGTACATAAAAAATTGGGCAGACTTTGCAACTCTGTTAAAATTTTAATGGTCCAGGCCGTGAATCGAAATCTTAATTTCTAATTGATTTTTAAAACGGTTGTTAGTTACAGAAAGAGAGATTGAGGAAATTAGATAGACATTAAAATGTGATAGCCGGATAAAATTTTAATAGGCCGGGAGATGAAATTGGTAAAAAAAAATTCAACTTGGGTGGGCCGGACTATATAAATAACGGATCGGCCAAGTATGCCGAAAAATCTTAATGGACCGGGCCCTGCAGATCTGTTATCTATAGCAAGAAAAAATGTAGAAAGTATGATTTTATAACCAATTGTTTATATTTTATGCAGGGCAAGAAAGAAACGATTATCTTTCGATGAATAACAAAAATTTTGAATAAATTAAAGAGTTCGTGAATCGTTATGATAAATCTCTTTTTATGCAAGGATTTTCAAACAATAACAATCATTTTAGATTACTGAACAATTAATTCCCATTTTATTAATAGTATGAATATGTAATTTGTATTTTTTTTATAGATTTACCCTAATATAATAATCGTAACAGTATTAATCACCGGTTAAATTTGTTCCTTCCAACCCATGGCGTTTAAAACATAAAGTACATTATTTTTAGGCCCATAGATTTTTAATATAAAAATGAGAGTAAAGGCCACCTGAATTTCTTTCAATAATAAATGCCACCTATAATAATTATTAGAATGTAGTAATATAAACGTTACTTCAAAAAAGGAACATGTTACCCGTTAAGTTTGAAAAAAGAAACGAGTTTTTCGATATTTTAATAGTAAAGGGTTACTCATTAAACACTAAATTTTATATTTTTAATTTATTTATATTTTTTTTGTCCATAGCTAAAAAAAATAGAATTATACATAAATAACATATTATAAGATAAGATCTCTTTCTAATAATTTATTATTTAATTTTAACAAATTTTGATCACATATACAAGATCGCTTAGTGTTCAACACAGTTTTCGCTGCTGGCGCAGAGGTTTTGAGGGTTGCAAAGAAACGTGTTACTTGTTACCTTTGAAATAAGTAAAGAATGGCTTTCCTTTTCCTTAAAAAAAGTAGCGTCATAAGTAAACGACCTTACTTTGCAGAACTATTAATATGCAATCAATGTCATAAATTTAAGGCTTTTACACAATATACTTGCATCAAATTTTTATATCACATTGTTTGATCATTAACTTCGTGCTAATAAACATTTTATATAAGGCGTGAAAAAGGGCCTTTAATTTTTTTTATAAAAATCTCAAGTTTTAAACAGATTTAGTTTTTGAGAGACCATTGAGCCCTAGTAACTGAAAAATATAAAAATCCCCCCCCCCCCACCCCAACAACGTTTTTGCTAAATTAGATCCATATTTAAAAATTATTTTTTACCTGGACTGAACCTGATGGTCATTAAAAAAAGATGAATTCCTGATTTTAAATAAATCAAATCCTTTAGGTTGCGCCCCAAAACCTGTTTCAAATGTTTTAAAACTTTAAGGGAACCCTAATGATAAAGTTCTGATCATATTATTTATTTTTAAAAAAAACTTATCTAGTGTTTTTGGAATTAACCCTCTTTTATTAATGTTTTGAGCTCAGCCTTATGTAAATTTATATGCATTTATTTTAATTTTATTCTCGTTTTAAAATTCCTAAAATTTTTCGTTTCTTTTAAAAATTTGCCATAATTTCCAGTTTCAACACAAAACAATTATATGTATTTTTAAAATAAATTTACCAAAAAAATAATTTTTGTTTTTATAAAATCGGGAAAAACACATTCAAATGTTGTAAAATATCAATATATATTTAGTAAAAATAATATGACATATAATTTCATTTTAATATCAGACTAAATTCCATTATTTTTTTTAAAATATTATAAACTAAAAATTAAGTCATATATTTAAAAAAAATAATTTTATGGGTTTATTAGACAGAATAAGAAAATGAGGCTGTATCCACAGCTGTTACTTATAATAGGCAATAGCGAATTAAATGACAATCATCCAAAGTTTTTTGACAGTTACATTAAATCGTTATCGTTTACGAAAGGTATATCAGCTGTGGATTTTTACCATAAAAAATAATTTTGTAACAAACCGGGAATTTTAAAGTATTCTTAAAATGTGAAAGTTTATTCTACAATTTTTTTTTAAAAAAATACAATTTATACAATAAGTTTTTTTTGGGAAGAAGAAAAGTGATTAATCATCTTTTTGTGGCAGGCACATGAAGATCTTTTGCACGAAGTAAGTTATTTGCCCTAATTTTATTTTTTTTATAAATAATATTCAGTTTATTTATAAAATGTTTTTATTTCTTCTAAAGATTATACCGAAAAAGGATGCTTTACTTTACATGTATTTAATCAATCATCTCTTCAGATTCTCCAAAACAAAATACTGAAAATATAAATCATGCGATAGTCCTTAATATGATGTGTGCTGCCTTGGATAAAAAATGACTACAATATTTGAAACTTTTTTTAAAGCGGATAATAGAAACTAATATAAATTGAGAAGTTTAATATTTGAATAGGCAATGTGAAGTGCAAAATAACCATATTGCAAAACGATTAAACAGATAATCGATTTTATAAAATCTTTTATGAGATTAAATCATGGTTGGAATTGCTCATTAAAAAATGTTCCTCCCTTATTTAATTAAAAGATATTAATATTAAAAACTTTGCCTCATTGTATCTTTATATTTATCTCCCCTTCTCCAGGTAGGGTTTACTAGAATACATTCGTAAACAACCATGGCATGCACAAGATCATAATGCAACCTATTAATTATCATAAGGCGAAATTCTTATAACATATATTAATTTAATAATGTGAGGAATGAATAAATTACTTATAATAACTGATACACATCTAGGTTTGCTCTTCCAAACAACGGCCAGGTAGTAAATAGGAATTCCTAGCATGGTTATGCCTAAGCCTATACCGCAATCTCCAGGAGAAGTGTAGAGTGGTAGTAAAAGGAGGAAAATGCATATAGCTAAGAAAAATATTGGTAAGATGAGTGGTACCTAAAATTTTAAAATAATATTAAATACTTGTACTATTATTATTATCATAATAATTATAATATGCCAATTCGATCATTTTTTGGGCTACCATTTTAAATTTTGCATATTTTATTAGTACTAAATAACTTTCAAAAGGGTTTGACTCGTTATATAATACGCACAGCATGTAGCACGGATGCTGCTGTGAAGTCTATCACAAAATAATGTTAATTGAAATTTTATTTCCTTTTATACAAAAGGCGATTCAAAATTCAAAACGATACGTCTAGCGTGTGTACAGAAAACTGAATGAAGCAAATTTTCCGTGCAATATATGACCTATTCAGTTCGCGGGTGTAAGGAAGATTTCCAAAAATAACATAAATACAGGAAGTGGCATATGTCATGTTGGATTGAAGAGGGATAAATACGATAATTATTTTCGGAAATAATCGAGTTATTTTTAACACCGAATTTTATTATAACAATCGATATAATATCACAAATTTTTCTGCTAAAATAAAAGTTATTCAAAAATCATTTTTCTATCTTCAAGAAACGAACTTGGGGTTTTCTTCATTAATTTTATTTTAGTAAAAAAAATATTTAACAGAATTGATATTTCTCTTACATTCTGATAATACTTTACACACTCCCAAAAACAAAATAATAAAATTTATTTAAACTTAACTATAGATTATGGTCTTCGAATTTAATCTATATAATTTGTCCAGTCAAATTCTGAGATAGATTTAGAAATTACTTATCCCCATTTAAATGTTATATGAGGTAAATAAATTTTTCTTTATTTTCTATTAAAATTTTGTTTTTCTAAACATCATTTATATAATTTATCAGTTATACCGTGATAGGTCTGTACATATCGGGTCGTTTCCATCTCAAATACAGTAAAGCAGAGATGGAGATCGCGATGAAAGATGATTCGACAAAGCCAGCATAATTGATCAAGGCTAAGATGTTCGTCGAAAGGCACATGACCGACGATAGGATACCCTGAACAATTTATATATTCGTTAAAAAAAATAGTAAATAATAATTGAAATATTTTTTAAAAAAGGTTGATTGATTTTACACTTTAATTTCAATTTTCGTATCGGTTTCGGGGTCCCTGCTTAATACGTTATTAATTACAATAAATAAACTTAGGAGTAACCATTATAGAGGTGTAGACCATCATAAAATGTGGTAATCTTTGAGGGTTTCAAAACAATACATAACTCACCCCCCCCCCCCAATTTATGCAATTTTTAAAGAAAAATCAATGAAAAGTTATCCGACAGTTAAGTTTAGGTTCATGCAGGACTCTGGAATATCATACGTGGCCTCTAAAGCCAAGAAGATAAAAGTCTGCCCATTTTCCTAAAGCCCATGATATAAAAATTTTAGGAGTAACTGTCATATGCATAAACAAATGAACAATTATTTTAATAAGTGTAATATACAATATTATTATGTTTAAAATATTTACCGTTAATATGAGTGAAGGTGTAGGACTGAATTTGTTCATACTAATCATGGCTAAAAAACCGGGCAAGTGTCCCTCCCTCGCGCCCACGAAAAATAATCTTGTTTACGTTATATAAATTTGATTTATATACTATTTGATAATATTATATATATATCACACTACTTATTTATTTTTTTCCCTCTTACTTTACTTTCTCGACCATAAATATCTGCGAGCTCGTAAAACCGGTGTCGGGTTAAAAATCATGCCCGATAGAAAAAAAAATTATTTTAGCCAATAAAACCTTTTTAAAATATGGACCGGGTAGGAACGAGATTTCACCGCTGAAGACTTTAATAAATTTGAAGGCCCTTAAATAAAAAAAATATTTTAATTTACTTAATCCCTAAGAAAAATAGAAATTTTAATTTTACCAAGATAAAATAGAAAATACAAATCAAAATTAGTATTTACAAAAAGGGGAAATCAAAATTAATGTGCAAGAACCAAAATTTTGTAGCCACTAAAATTGTTTGAGTTTGGTAACCCAAAGCCAGTGCTCCGCCCGCTTACCGGACCGGATTCCATTACTTATGACGAAAGTTATAAATTTATTTATTTTAAACATATCTTTCTTTGATTGGCCAGGCCAAGTCAGGTTGAATAATTTTATAAATCGCTCATTTCTAACAACCAAAATCACTCCTATTATGCGGGTTACAAAATATATCGTTTAGGTATTTCATTTGATTTCATAATGAGCGCTTTTAAATATGGGACTTAGCTATACCCCCCCTCCACCTTGTGATGAAGAATAAGACAATGTTTTTTGAATAATACAAAAAAAACCAACAGACATTTTTCAAAAAGGCTTTAAAATTCAAAAAATATAGGATTTTTTTAAAAATATTTTAATAATGTAAATTTTTATGATTTTTTTTTTCCTTCACAAAAAAAATGATAAGTACGGACTGGGCCAAAAAAAGAAATTCGAGTGTCGGGCTGAAAAATATTTTCAAACACTTTTCATAGACCGGTTCCATCTCTAATATATTATAATATAATTTTTAATTATACCTGGAAGAAGCGAATATTCCCCCATTAAGTCCGCCAAACGTGGACGCGGCTACAAATATGGGCATTATCCAAGCACCTTTGCCCAACGTTTTTTCCCCGAAGGTCTTTTATAAACGTTTTTTAAAAAAATATGTAAATAATATTTAAAAAATCAACATCTGCTCTACTTAATAGGAAAAAAATAGTATGGCTTCCTATTTTTTTCAAAATTGTTTTCTTTTCTTTCTGGAAAAATGGGATGAATAAAAAACTCCTACTGAAAAAAAATTATATTGAAACTCCCATAATCAGCTGACAGACTTGGTAGCCATGAATGGTTAGAATCACTCCCTAGTCGCAAACTTGGTAATCTCTTATCAAACAAACAATCTAGAGTTGCCATTGCTTTAAGTCTAGGTTGTGACATGTAAAGCCACATGCTTATATCAAATGCAAATCACCAGTTGATTCAAAGGGTAGGCACGGCCTCAACAATTGTATGTACAGTCAAGGGCGACCCAGCGCCACACAGCAACAAACCATGCAATAAATCGAGGTTTAACAATCGCTAACATTCCGAACCATCTTGATCCCACATTTATCTTATGTAGTAAGATTTGATGGTATGACAACCATATTTTAGACCCTCGGCACAGCATTTATAGGGACTACACATTGACCTATTCATTCCCCTTAAAATTAACCAGCTAAACCACCCAGAAACAGAAAAAATCAATAAATACAAAAATCTTAGCAACTCTTTTTATTCCAATAGTCACCACTTAATAAACGGTTAAAAAATGTTGGCGGCAAAATTCGGTATTTTATAAGCGAAACCAAAAAATTATATATGTTAAAAATATAATTGTATAAATCCGTAGACTTAAAACATAGTCCATTGCTACACAATGCAGGGTAGAAATAAAATAGTTCCACATTAAAAAATTGTCATACTGGGCAGGCCCGTTAACCAGACATCCGGTGGTAACATCATCAACAGATAATATAGGTCTGATCCAACACGTGGCCTGAAAAATAATTAATGTTATATTTTTTCCAATTCTATGATGATTATAAAATGAATTTAAAATAAAGATTTTATTTACGATTTCTTCCCTTATATGCTTTTTTTGAAAAATAATTTTGCCATCGGACCTTGGTGGGGGGGGGGGGGGCTTGGACTTAAAAATTTGGATTTCGCTGATCTCTACTAAAAACGTATTTTAATAAAATTTAACATAGGTAGATTCCTTTTAAAAAAAATATATAAGTTTAAATGAGTTTGGTATGAAGCTATTCACCGACATCATGTAGTGTTGTTAATTTGCTTGGTCGTAAAATTTACGACCAAATTATCTGCTCAGGCCTGCCCTGAGCACGAACTCGGGGTTCAGATAAATGAAATGAAAAAATAAATCTCATTTACTAATCTCAAATTAAATCTTATTATGTTTTCTAATTAGTAATTAAAGCTTTGTTTATTATTTTATACATTAATTTTATTTTCTTACTTACCATTTAAATATTTGTTTAAATTGGGGTGCTTTTGATTGGAATCTGTTAAATTCACATTCACTTGCTTCATATATAACATTATCCTTAATCTCATGCAGTACAATCGGATGGATAGACTTAAGTACAAGCCAATGGCACAAAAAGCGAATCTACAGTCCTTAAATAATATCATGTGAAAAGAGGAAATTCAAAAGTTCCTTCTTCTTAAACCAATAAGAAAATCATTATAAAGTCTACAATAGATCATATCAAAAAGCATTCACGATAAATTAAAAACTATTTCTCATTTTATTTTTATTTTTGATTATACAACTGATGTCATGATCATCAGAAAATTAAAGGCTTTTTTGTCTTATTCTTTTTGGCTTGTTTATTATGAATTTAGCTATAATTAATAAAAGAAAAATTATCCCATATGACAATTTTTGATGGGATATTATTAAGTATTCATTTTTTTAAATTTTCTAATGATGGATGAAGTAGAGCACTTTAATTCGGTCCAAAGCCCCACCCTAAACATTTTATAACAGAATCGGATCGGGCTTTAATAACATAAAAAAGGATAGGCTCAAAAATATACAAATATTTTAGGCTTAGGTATGGGCCGATAAAAATTGAATTTGTAGAGCTCTAGGTAATAAATAATGCGCATACTATTTATAAAGTTTTATCGATTTTTTTGGAGGGAATATATATTTCGAGGAGGGGGGGGGTTCTAGTACGTTTTTCCCTACTCATTCTTGTTATATTACATCGAGACGAGTAGAATGATCAATAAATAAAGCGAATTTATGCTTACAACAGCCACGGCTTTAGAAGTTTCTATTTCGAAGGGGGTCATGACGGAGAAATAAGCAACATTCGCCAGCACGTAAACTATGGTGACCAATGGCAATGATATGTATATGGAGCGAGGCAGGTTTCTAAAAAAAACAATTGAAAAATAATGAAAATTTAAAAGGTATAAAAATTTTAAGGCTGCGCTCTAGCACGCTATTTCCTCTTTTTTTAAGATCAATAGAATGTGATTTTTATAAAGAAAAGAAATATAATGTAAAAGGTCGAAAATTATTTTTTGATTCCCATCTAGACCAGACAAAATCTATCATAGAATCCAAATATTTAAAAAAAAATATATAACTAAAGCTTAGAAATGTTTATAGGCTGGGTGTTTATGGTGATGTAAAATCTTTACATTTTAACCGAATTTAAAAAAAAGTTAACTCAGTATTTTATCCAGAAAAATATTACGCAATCCTGAAGATTTTCCTCATAGATGACAGAGATTTATTAGCATCTCGAGACTTAGGTAATATTTTTCTCGCTACAATATTGAATTAGCCATTTTTAAAAATAGGCTAAAATGGAGCGATTTTGCATCAATAGTTTGTTATAATAATTTCGCAAAACAATGTATTCATACATCTATATAGCTATAAAATTGTTGCGGGTGTAGGAAGGGGGGGGGGTGTGGGAATTTTGTTTTATTAGGATTAATGTGCCCTCACAGGATAAATTTCTAAATTTTTCGAAGACATAGCTTGACTTAATTATTATTTATTTATCTTTTAATGTTGGACGTCAATCATTTATACCTTCCAAAACACGCTCTGAAAAAAAGTAATAAGTTGGTAGGAGAAATAAATCATTAATAACCCTATAAATTAATCTTCGATAAGATCCAATCGAAACGATCACATGAATTTCAATGGTTATTAAAGATGGCGGTTGCGTAATCATTTCAATATGAGAGACTATTATTGCTAGTTTAATATTCCGAACCACCATTTTAATAATATAATAATCGAACGTATAATAAGCGAATAGCTATTAATCCATTTTTTGTAATATAACAATGACGTCGAAGAAGAGAAATTTTTTTCTAGTAATATATAGTATAGATATAGCCACTACTTACCAAATATATAATAAGTAACGGGTTCGCTTATTCCAGGATTATTTAACCGATTTTTTTTTTATTTAAAGAAGATAAAATATTATATTTTCTATTATAAAAAAAAATTATAATATTGTTTGATAAAACTTGTATGGATTTTTGAGTTCCTCCGTTACGAAATTCAGATAGTTCCTTAATAAATAATGATTACATATTTTAATATAAAATAATTCTTTCTATCTATCTCTATCATTCTTTCCTTCCTTTTTATCTCGAAATTATCTATACTATTATATAATTAATATTATATTTGTAATTCAATGTCACTTCTCGTTTCGCTTCTCTTGAAAAAAAAATAATTTTTTTCCCCACTTAAAACAATATTTATTTTAAAAAAATATATAATAAAATCAAATTATAAAATAAATTTGAAATTTATCCATTTTATTATTTTAAATTATATTTTAAAAAAAATATCATTATGTCATTTTCAAAAAGAAAATATGACAATTTCAATTTAAAATTAATTGCTAATAAAATAATTTAATATAAAATGATGTGAAATTTTTAAAAAAAACTTATATTTTTTCGAGTTAAATTATGTCACTAGAAAAAACGAAAGTTAATTATGAAATTAAAAGGATTGTTTTTTTAAAAAAGATAAATAAAATAAATATGTTTTCTTAAAGGCGTAAAAATCAAAAACAAACTAAAAATTTTGGTTAAAGTGTGACAAGAGATAATAATTGTATTAAAATTAGGATAGAAAAATGATCGATCATATATACATTATGGAGATTATGTATTATTGGCTGATAGCCAGTCAAAAATGACGGCGAATCAGAAATTTCCACTTTATTTAATGATAAATAATTCAGAAATCAGCCTATTCTTATGAGGTGTAAATCAGAAATTTACCTTTATTTTGATGAGAGTTGAATCAGATTACTATATATTTATAATCTTCAATAAGAATAATAATATATATTTATACCCTAATTTTACGGAGAAAATAATTAGTTTAAAAAAATGGAAATTTCACCAATTTTAAAAAAGTATATAATTGAATAAGAGTCTGTTTAAATTTAAGTGGGCAAAGGGTAGGGTTACAAATATCCAAATTTCAAGGCCCCTACCACCCATATAAAAAGAAACGGTTTGCAAAGAAATGAATATTTGCGTGTGAGAAGGGTGAATGGTTATCAATCCTATCTTTCCACTAGGATTTCGACATTTGGCAGTAAAAGCCAATTGAAAGAGAAAGAAATTTTTATCTCACGTTTTTATTATTATATTTTGCTCTAACTACGTCTACAGTCAGCGAAGAACTATTTGGTAATAAGAGGATATTTTGATCAAAAAATGAAGATATGATACCCCCCCCCCCCCCACACACACACACTGGATCAAAAACAAAATTTGTTTCCCATTCATTCAAATTGGGCTTGCTTTTAAATAAACCACGGTCAGTCCGGGAGCCCAATAAAAAAGGGCCCATTGGTTTCACTTTTTCATCTTTAATTTATCTAAAAAGAATTATGTTGTAAGAGAAGGGTTCAAGCAAATTAATTGCTTCATTAACCTGATTTTTTTTAGAAAATTGTTAAAACTTAAATTAAATATGTTGGCGCGTGTTTTAATTTTGAAGGATCTGATTTTGCGGGAACCATATTTTAGCGTGGTATAGAATTTATACTCTACGTATTTCAGAAAGTTCCCATTCTAAATCGCCATTTAATTTTTCTTATAAGAAATTTTTTTAAAGTAATATTTATAATAATATTAATAGATGCTAGGTAAACACACTTTTATTTAAAATTGAATTTTTAAAAAAATCGCTAAAATGGGGGAAATAATAGAAAGATTTCTTTTGAAAGAAAGAAAAAGAAAGAAAGGATATCTATATAAACCTAAAATTTTCGATATATTTTAAAAAAAGCGGGAAAAATGTATAGTGTAATTCTTTCTTTTTTGTTATCTTCTATATATAAATAAGAAAATATTTGAGAAAAAGTAATCAAATAAGTTAAAAAATAAAATTATAGAGATAAGGTATTGAAATAAGGTAGAATGAAACGATGTGTTAATAAAACAACGTAACCCTTGAAAATGAAAAGGGAAAATTTATTCGAGATTTTTCGATTATTTGATTTTTATTACCAAATATGTCAGTAATTAAAAATGATAATAACAAATCGATGATTGTGAAAGTTTCATATGAGCTACGTAATATTTATATTCACTTCCCCCCCCCCCTTTAAGATTCATACCTCTTAATTCATATTTCTATTGATTCCATTTTATTTTCATTATTTCTTCATTTATATTTTAAATCTATTTTTTTTCTTCTTTCCTTCTTTCTTTTATTAATCTTTACTTGGTGGTATACGCGGGCTCGGAGCAAGAGCTGACTGCATCGGTCAAGCCTAAAATTTGTGAGACCGTAGGGGGCATTCTACCTACACTATTTAATTTTTCTTTCCTACTATAAGCTTATGCTACACATCCGTTTAATCCTAATATTTTAAATAATGGGTTGAGCTTTCAGGCTCGCATCAATTATGGTTTAGTGTAAGTAACTTTATCTAAGTTTTATCCCATTGTATATATAGCATTGTATGAAACTAATCCCCCTTTTAACCTTAATTTACAATTCTTTTCCATCTTTGATTGATAACTAATTTTATAGATAATTAGTCATTACTTACTGACTAAATAAATAAACATCCATTTGGATCTATCAGTAGGATAGACTTTAATAATTCTAAATTTTTTTTATTCGTGCTGGGAATGATTAGAATCTCGGCAATTTTTTTTCCTTTTCGAAAAAATATAAATTTACGTTTTCCCTCTCGCGCTTATAATTTTTTCGCCTTCTTTAAAAATTCCTAAATTTCTTTCTTTTTTCTTAAATGCAATGTTTCGGATCGATTCGGATTCTAAAATATGAGTTCGGACCGGATTTGGATATTTGGAATAATAGTCTGATCGGGTAGGTTCTAGTATAATACAAAAGATATGTAGATAAGAAATGTTAACACATACCATCCGGCGTATGAGAATAGACCCGAATAAAAGGATAAGGCAATATTTCCGGGTTTTTTGTTCGTTCCCCTAAAGGAATTGGAGGGCAAAAGGTTGCTAACGTAACCTAACGACAAAAGCAACATAAAATGAAATAAAATTTAAAATCCTCCAGGAAAAAAATGTGCAAATATTTTATCGCACTTAAATAAATCAATTAATTTTAAAATGGGCAACAATTAATGCCGATTTTATTTTGTAATAATGTAAATTATATATGAATAAATTTTTAAAAAGAATTAATTAAACCTTTTCCCAAAAATACGAATCCGGTTATGATGATAACGACCAATGCCAAGAGCTTAGCTATTGTGGTAGAGTCTTGTACCCTGGTGGCCCATTTAACGCTGTAACAATTTAAGAAGGTCAAGAATACTTGTTGTAAAGATAGGGGAAAAAAATAATATATTACATTTTTATTTTATTTTTTAAAAAAAATTCTTTTCTTTCTTCTTTTCTTCCTTTCATTTTATATAATCTCCTAATTTCAACCAAAAAAATAATAATAGACCTTCAGACCGACACTTCTCTCTTACACATTTTGATTCTATCCCTCTTAAAACGTTTAATTGTATAAGAAAAGGTTCATGCAGTTTTTATAATTTATAATTTAGAAATTTATGTAACATGCGGATTTGATATTTAAAATATTAAAAAAAAATATTAACCTTTTAAGAAAAAAAGGAACTTATGGTATCATTTTTTTTTTTAAAAAAAAACAATTTTTATGCAATTACTTAATTAATTAGAGTGTAAAAAACCAAGGCCAAACTCATTTTAAATTTTCGTGAACAAATATTTTTAATAAAAATCACAAGAATAGTCAGGTAATTAGTATATTTTTAGCCGTCGTTTAAACTAATTTTTAGTCGGCTAAACCGAGTTTTTAGCTGAAAAATATCACTTTTGGCTTCAGGTTTTTTTCTAAAAAATATATAGCAGCTCAAATTTGAAAGTAACTGATTATAAATTAAAACGCTTTAAATGTTAATGGATTTTCGCTCACAAGTAATTTATATAATAAATTGTTATATACATTATGTTTGCGCCATCCATTTTAAATGGTTTGGGGAAAATTGCAGGGGCTCGAGCCCCCTAAAAAATTTGAATAGCCCCCTGAAGCAAAAAAATTTTTTTTTAATGGGCCATGCTGATATTAAATATCTATCGGATCGGTACCGATATTTAGATTTTTCCGGAAATATTAGATCGGGCCGATACCTGTAAAAAACCGACCCGATCTTTTTACTTTACTTTTCTTTTCTTTTTTTTGTTATTTTATTTTATTTTATGTTATGTATATTTATTTTACTTTTCTAAATAATTTTTTTAAATTTTATTTCTTTTTTAAAATAGATTTAGAAGTATTTTAAAAGTTTTTTTTTATAAAAATAGAGAGGAACATCCAAAGTTTTATTTATTTAAAATTTTTTTTAAATAACGCCAATATTGTATCTGAATTATGGAAATATTTTACAAAGGACAAAGATAATTTTGCAAAATGCATTATTTGTGGAATCATCTGAGTCTGCCTTCAGTACGGCAGGAGATATAGATATTCCATATCGTTGAAGCTTATTCCCAGAAAATCTAGAGGCTCTTATATTTATTGAAAAAATCTAATATATTATAATTTTATATATTAAATATTACAATTTTATAATTCCATCATAAAATGGATATATTATTAAATATATATATATTTTAACTATAGTCTTAATTGTAGAAATAAAAAAATAAAATTAATAATTCGATTTTTTGCATAAAAAATATTGATTTCTTAATTACATTTGGTTAAACGGGGGCGATTAAAAATCAGTAAAAATATCGGATCGGTATAGGATCGGTTTTGAAGCAATATCGAAAATATCGGATCGGATCGGTGAAAAATATGTGGATCGGCAGCCCTAGTTTATTTATTATTTAAGTTAAAAATAATTTTTTGATTGCTTTTAATAGGAGTCTTTGGAATAGGAAAATCAGTACATGAAACCGAGTCGAATCATAGAACCTGAACCTTTTTCGAAATTTAGGAACCCGATCTGGCAGTAGGATCCATTTTAATCCAGATTACAAACGCTCCGATTTTGAGTACGTTTTTTTTTCTGATAAGGATCAGTTAGATATCAGCTCAGGCCCAGCCAATATCGGTATCTGCTGCATTTTTGATTTTTTAAATGGTTCCTAGTAGATGACTGCTGTATTACTCTTAATTCTACAAAATCGTAATTTACTATTAATTTCTATTTATAAGCGGGCCTAAACCGAACAGCTGAACCTGGCCGGTCTGAACCCCTAATTAAAAAAATTTATTTTTAGAACCAGAACCAGTTTCGAACAAGGCAAAAATTTTGTCGGGTACAGATTCCCGGCTTAAAACCCTTTCTTTTTTTTAAAAAAAAAATTAAAATACATTATTCAACTTGACCTTTAAAAAAATATATTTTTATACAAATATTAAATCTTAAAAAAAATTCAAAAAATAAAATAAAATATGTTTTTAATAATTTTAACATCTTACTTACTTATATGATGATGTATATTATAATACCAAGAGTTGCAAAATTTAGATAGGGTAAAATTAAAAAAGGGGGGTAAAGAAAATATATAAATTTCTAAAATAAAAGATGTTTTTTTAATTAGAGTCAATTTTGAATTTTTTTTTTATAAGATGGAGGATAGGAATTATCGATTTCATTTTGTTTTGCTATAATTAAAAACTTAAAAGTAGTAAAGCAAAATCCAAAAAAAAACTATTCTCAGATTTTAAATATTTCAAAAAGCGAATGAATTGTTAAAAAGGTAATGATGATAAACTTTATTGAAAAATTGTTTTTTTAGTGAGTAAAGATCAGCAAAACCCGGCCAGACCGGTTAAAAAATATGTGCGAGTTGTCCGGGCCGATAAAAAATTAAGAAAAAAAATCTTGCCCAAACCCTTTAAATTTTTCTTACGAATTTTCAAGCCTTCATATTTTTTTTAAAAAAAATTTTCCCACTGACCGAAATAGAAGTTTGAAGAAAGATGACAAAGAAAATAAAGAATTTTTTTAATTTTCATATTTTTGATTGAACTTCTTGCTGGACTTTACCTTTGACTTTGATCGAAAATTTTTCTTTTCTTTTTCGATTAAACACTTTTCCTCAATTTGATTGGCCCTTTTTTGATCGGACTTTTTCTTTTTTGATTGAGATTTTTCCTCTTTAAAATGGGAAGCCTGGTTTAAAGAACGGTTCCAATTCCCTTGCATAGGGTAAGTGGGGGAGCCGAAGGCCCCCTTATAAACTTTTATATAGAAATAAAACCTACGCTTTTAAAAGTAAGGGGAATCAAGAGTAAACATATCAGCCCCTACGGAGGAGCGAACTGATATCGGTTTTAGGCTTAAACCTGGAAACTGAACGCTAGACGTTAAAAGGTCTTCTACAGCTCAAATCGGGTGATTAATCGATAACACAAACACTGTCTTGATTATCTGGACATAGTTCAGGGTTCAAAAATTTGAATTGTTGGACCGAAAATGAATCGAACAAGGACCAATTTTTTAGGATAAATTTAATTATCCCACAACTTCCCTTTCCTTATTATTGGGGAACTGCTTTCTCTTACACATTAGGTTGTTAATGCATTGTATCAATTAATTTTTTTTTTAAATTTAGAAGAAAAAAAAATCAGTTATACTTTTCGGTAATCAATCAATAATAAATTAATATATGTGATTTGATTATGATCACCAAATTTTTAATGACATTCTCATTTAAAAAAAAAATTGATTATGAATTTATAATTAATCTTACAACAAATTTAAATATATGACAAAAAAAGGGGTAAATGAAATTACCCTTATTTATAAATTAATCATCTTTGTTTTATCTGAAAGTTAAAGGGCATAAGAAATACAAAAACATTTTTGTCATAACAAACTGCAAAAAAATAAAAAATACGTGAGAAAATTCAAGAAACATTTGATGGGTGAGGATGGGGAGGAGGGGATTAAATATTCTCCAGCTAGTTTCGTTGTGGTGACGACGTCTAACGTGTATAATGAATTGAAAGAAAGGTAAGTAGGAAATTTATTGAAGAAAATTGTTAAGAATGAATATCAATATTTTTTTAAAAAGCCTAAAACCAAAAGTGTAAAAGAAAGATGCTATTCAATGTTGTCCCAGATTAATGCCCATTCCGAAAAACTACGGCCTGATTATATGAACCGGGGCATAAATTTTTTTTAAAAGATAAACCCGATCAGGTCTAAAAATATTTTTTTAAACCAACCCCAGGGAAGGCCTTAAAATTTTGAAATCTGCAGGTCTCTTGAACACTTAAATGAGCTGCCATGTTTTTTTTAATGATGCTTAAAAAATTGAATTTGTAGCATTTTTAATTTATAACCTTAACATGTGTTATTTTTAGCTTGAATTGATATAATTTTGTTCCTTAACCGCAAACATTTTAAAAAATATAATAAATATATATAAACTAAAGAATAAAAAAGGTGAGACTTACGTGTACAGGCTATAGCCACTAGTCGAACCGCGTTATCCGGTACCAACGAAGCTGGATCTATATCGCCTCCACCCAATGGCACCCCGTTCGGACCGACCATAAGGGATCTTCTTATGACATCATCGGTCATGGATGTATAATTGTAGGTGTAATCCCGAACCGGGGGAAGAGTCTTGATGGGCAAATTCCTAGCGAACACGGGTTGAAGAATATTGTTGGCGAAGGTAAGCGCCGTTATAGCGTTACCCGTGGGCATGATAACAACGATGGCTACCCAAAGGTAGAGGAAGGCTGGGAGGGGACCAAAGGCTTCACGAGCGTAGGCGTAATCACCCCCAGATTTGAGAATGGATGTGCCAAGCTCGGCGTAGCATACGGCTCCCGCCATGCTAAACAAACCGCTCAAAGTCCATACCACCAGGGCCAGGCCGGCCGAGCCCGTCTCTTTAACCACGCCCGAGGGTGAAACAAATATACCTGAGCCTATTATGACGCCCACTATGAGGCCCACTCCGTTGGAGAGGTTCATTTCCTTCTTCAATCTCATGCCCTGACCTTCACCACCTTTCGCGTCGCCGCCTCCTTGATTTAAAGGTGTTGACCCGTCTTCCCTATTCGAGATAAAATCTTTATAATCGGTCGTTCCTTGGGGACTAATCATTGGATCAAGGGGTATCATGGTGGAATCGTCCATTTTACCGTTCGAATCGCCTTTATTTTATGTAGAGGTATATGGAAAATTAATTTTATAATATGAATGGATTAAAACGAAAATTGCGAATATAGTATCCGCAAATTTTTAACTTGAAGAATATTATTAATATTTTATTATTATAGAGTATAAACATCCGGCTTTGAGCTAGCTGTTCTTTTTTAGAATAATTTTGACAACATTGTCATGTAGGTCACTCAAATAATTAAAGATGATATAATAAAAAAAAATTTTTTTAATTTTTGGCCTAGTAATTTAATATGGTTATAATTGACATTTTTAATAATGTTTTAAGCTTAAAATACCATTTGACCTTACATTATATAACTCATTATTTAAATTTTAAAACAAGAATGATGAAATAATCATGAATTTTACAATTAAAATATTTGAATAAGTGCTTTACATGTCATCAAAGTTATTCATTCAGAATTCGTTTTTTTTAAATAAATATGAATACAACTATACCGCATCAGTTTTCTTTTCGAGCGTAATCAAAGATTTGTTAAAATCATAATATGTACTTAGCGAAAATGCAAGCTCTTAGATTATAGTGAAATCTATAAATCATGTCAATTAGTGTTCCTGCAAACCATAAAATTGAACTGACTCCTGCGTACCTTTATTGAAGTATCATCAATATGAGTGATTATATAATCATTGGGAGATTTCTGCATCGACCGGGATATTTAAATACTGGTCTTGTTGAAGATATTTATCAGAGCACGGGCTTAAAGTAAATATTTTGGGGCTTTTGCAAAAAAAGAAAACAAAATGTTGGTCCTAACATTTTCACACTTGATTTCCAACTAGATTCAGCTTTTCGTTTTACGAAGTGAATGATTTTTAACGTTATTTTCGAATTTAATTTTTTAAAAATATATATATATATAAGTGTTTAGGCGCTAATGGCGATATAATTTAAAATTTATAAGTCAATTTCAAATCGTGATTAATATTAGTAATAAAAACAATTTTTCAATGTAAAATTATTCCATAAAAAAAACAAAACTCTCCCCTTATTATGTTTTTAATCAATTAACTAATTTATTTATAAAAATGACCAGGTTCATCTTACAACTTAGTATAGAAAACAATAATTTCTTCATACCATCCTTTGAAGATTGAAATATCGATCCAAACCTGGTTTTCCCGTTAAATATTCGTTTTTACGGTTTTGTATCTATCTGATTGACTTCTCATTTAATGTTTCGAGCTGTTTATTTATTCTTAAAATAATGGCAAATTTTATTTAGTCAAAAAGTGTTTTTAGCCGGACACCCAGGAATAATTTGACTGGTAATCCTACCGATTGATGAGTTTTCTGAATTTCTTCATCAAGAACTTTATGGGGTGCAGAATTCCGTTATGATATTTGGATAAAGAAGCAAAAGTCATGCTATATGGCTTGGAAAGTTATAGCTAACATTGTGGAACACGATTCGAAATATGTAGCGAATTAGCCAATCTGGTGTCAATTCTAATTATTCGGAAACGAGCGAGATCTGCTCACCATTACTAGTAAAAAAAATTACTTCGATGGTGTTCGAAATTATCAGCATAGAATACGAAATAACTCATAAAGAAAGTTAAAAAAAAACAATATTATAGCTAACTATTTATCAAGAAATCCAATTAAAAATTGAAAATAATAAAATAGAGTTGAGAGTACAAGAAACCAAACCTACAATGTTTTCGGTATGTCCATATTAGATATAGGAAACGAGACATCAAAAGACCGAATCTTATCGGAAATAAAATAAATAATGTTAAATTACTTATCGTTCACAGAAACAGAGGCTTAAAAACAATCAGCAAGACAAAAAGTAGGGATTAGATTGGAGGATGGAGTATTATTTAATATCGCGGGCATTGCACATCATGCACCTAGTGCATACCCTGAATAACAACGAACAGCCGTTGCTTGTAATCATATGGTACCCAAGAATGGACCAAGATATAGAAAGATTAGTAAAAATATGATACCATAGAATACGCCAAAAATAGCAAGGGAGATAATCTATATTTTGCGGGATATGTAGACTCATACTATTGAATATTAAGAGTAGGTGAATTATCCAAGTGAATTGAATTGGACTATTTAAAAGAAATTTGAGACCATGCCATACCCTATTAAAAAGTTTTGAAGCGTGATTTTTGCATGGTGTACCAAAGAAACAAGATCCCGATAATATGGCACATTTAATAACCATAAATATGAAGATTTTATTCAATAAATTACGCATCAGAAAGGGGACTTACTACTCCGTACAACCCAAAGAGTAACGGTTTAACATGAACGCAACGCAAACGATTATCGATATCCCAGAAGAAAATGCACTAAGGTGGTATTGTCCATTTACCGAAATTCAACTAAACAATCGATGGAATATCAGCCAAATTAGCCCTGGGTTGACAACTAAAAACAGTTTTTAGCTGCATATATAAAACATCTTTTTATTGGACACATAGAAACATCAAGTGATAAAAAAACGAGCATTTTATGATATGCTTTTTAAAAAAAAAAATTTAAAATAGGGAAATATATAGAAGAACAGCTAAATATTTTTTTGTGCTCACAAATCCGGATATCCCTCAATGTTAAATTTAATTTAACCGGAAATTATCATATTATGAGTGAATTACTTATAGTGGGAAAATTTCAGACAACTGTAAAAATCGAAGGCTTACTATCCCTTGCACTGCAAGTTCTCCCGTGGACGACAACCTCGTCATAAATCTATCAATAACATTTTACTAGCCGCCCTCAAAAAAGTTAATATCCCATCTACCCTCGAACCAGTGGGTCTTTCAAACGAATACGCCATACGCCCGGATGGTATTTCTCTCATACCCTGGTCTAATGGTCTTCCGCTAACATGGGATTACACTTGCGTTAATTTGGTGCCAAGTCTAACCTCTCATTTTCTGCTATCGAAAAGGCAGAAATCCTTAAAAAAAATAAATACGCTTGCCTCGCCAACACTATGTTCATTCCTATCGTTACCAATTCCCTAGGCATGTTTGGAAACGAGGCCCTCAATTTCATTAAAATTATAGGAAAAAAAATGAGACAGATCTCAGGGGACCCCAATGAAGGATTTTACCTTCGCCAGCAGATTTCCCTAGAAATTTGCCGGTCTAATTTTTTAAGTATTCACTCTTCTCTTGGATGATATATACCCCCCCCCCCTTTTTTTAAAACCCATATATTTTTTTTATAGTCTTTTTTAATGTCTTCATAGATCATATATATATTATATATTTCTTTTTTTTTATATTTAATTTTTAATATATCCATTTTAATATATATTTTTTAATCCTCTGTAATTTTAATGAAAATCAAAAAATAAAATACAGTTTAATATAAAAAAAAAAAAAATTATTCTTAATTTGCTCAAAAGTTTATGTGGATAAAAAATAATAAGGAAAGCTACATTCATAATAAGGGCGATTCGCCAAGCGATACGAAATTAATCGCTAGCAAAATCACAGTTGACGCCATAGCCATGGTACTTTTTGAAATATAAGTAAACAGTAGCGATTTATCGTTCCGTGTAAATTATACCTATTTTTGGCTTGCTTTTATAAATTAACAGCGATTAATATCCCATCGTTTGAGCAAATTGCGATTACTACATATGCAGCGTAAGTACTGTACCCATGCTGGTATGCATTTCCGGTCAAATCATATTTATACTATATTGTATAAATATAAATGTGATTTGCTGTAAAACATTTACATATATTGTAACAACTTTCTTAAAAAAATTGTTTAATTTGCTGTAATTTTTTTTCTTAAATGTTATCAATATGTTATTTTTAAAATAATTACAGCTAGTCAAACAAATTTATAAGAAAGTTGTTATGAATATATGGAAATGTTATATCAAATCATACACACACACATACATATAATGTGTAATATATATCGATCCTCAAAATTTTGTGTGATTTCGAAACCGGAACTCAGTAAAATCAAAACAGGAAACTCTTTTTAAAAAAATTTAGGAAGCCATTTTTAGTTCATGTCCCACATTCTGAATATTATTTAATTCTTATTTAAAATTGAAAGATTTTACTCAGCCCTTCCTCAAGATATAGATTATGAATAGATTTTATTTTTATCTTTTATCATTGAGAAAATTAAATAGAATTTATTTTTGTAAAACTTGTCATTGTATTAAGAATAAGATCGAATTTACCTCTTGTTCAACTAGAAAAAGGTAACGACTGGACAAAAATATTGATGTTACAAATTATAATTATGATGATGCAATTGCATAAGAAAAATAATTTATTCTGTTTTAACGAAATAATACGAACCAACAAATTTTTGAATGCGATAATTTTTTGGGAAGATGTTAGTTATAATTGAAATTAAATGAAGGAAAGTGAAACGAAATTGTTTAAACTATGCTAGATTTTTTGTCCGAGAATCGATAATTTAATGATAATTAGTAATTCTGGTCGCGTGGAATAAATTATTTAACCATATTTAGCATGTGTCATAATATATTTTATGTTTTGACATAAGATTTTAATGGAAATTAATAAATTTTGAATGAGAAATGAATGAATAAGGAATAAAATCTTCAATTTTTTTTTAAAAGAATAATTTAAATATTCCAATGAATCGCTAATTTTATAAAAATTGTATTAATTTTTTTTTAAATTAATAATTTCAGATGAATTTTAAAATGTCTAGACCAGACATAGATTTAGATATTAAAAAAGTTGATTTCAAAAGCAGAAGATTTTTTATGAATGAATGAAATGAGATTATCCAATATACGAAGTCAGATTTTCAATTTTTTTTACCTTTATGAATTAAATATTATTTATTAACGCATTTTATATTACAACTTACAACGATTAATGAACTTGCAAACAAATAATATATTATTTTTAAAAATAAAATTCAAATAATAATAAAAAAAACTAATTTGTTTTTAATTTTCTGCTTTATTTACCTTTCTTTTTTTTTTATTTCCATAAATTTTATTAACAGAATATATATTTATCTTATTTTCTCTTAAAAAAGATTTTATTATAAAATTTATTGGTCTAATTAATTTAGCTTAAATAAATCTTAAAAATTTTGCGAAATGTGCGAAACTTATAAATAATATCATCAACCATCTTAAAACTTCCCCTCTAAATTTTTTTTTAAAAAAAATTAGAAACAATAAATAAATAAAACATACTTCATCTCATTCTCCTCCGTTTATAATCAAAATAATTTATTCATCATTTTTTTTATAAAAACATGTTTATTTATTTATTTTTTATTATTTTTTAACATTTCATTTATCCAATTATAATTCAATTAAATTTGTTTTTTGATATTTTTTTTTTAGATTTGTGAATATAAATTAGAAAATATTATTTTTTTTAAAAAAAAAAAATTCCTCCCTTATGTTTCACTCATTTATACGGGCTGCATTGATTTCGACTTTCGACATCTCTTTTGCTTACAAACGAAAATAGGAAAAAAAAACACATTGACAATTAGAGATATGCAACCCGGGCCGGGTTTATTTTTTTTAAAATATCGGGGACTGGGTCGGGCTTAATATTTTTTAATTCGTACCGAGTCGGGTCGGGCTTTGAAATTTTTTTTAATATATCGAAATTTATCAATTTTATGTTGAATTTTTAATGTAAAATAAAAATATTTGATTTTATTTTTTAGAAACTAGATGCCATATAACATATATCTTTTATTTTGAGTAATTATAAAAATTAATTTCTATATTTAAATAAATTCGGGCCGAGCCGGTAAATTAAAAAAATTTTGGGTTCGGGCAGGGCTTGAAAAATTAGGCCCGATGCAGATCATTAATCACAACATTCACATTGTCGTCATGGTATTACCCCTCATTCTTAGCTTGAATTCGCGGCCAAGTATATCAAAATACAGTATATTTTGTATGCTCTACAGCTATTGTTAATGAAAGGTTACCCTGCAAACATCCCATTTCGTGACGAAGCATACAAAATTTGCTCCATTTTTATATATTTCGCCGTGAATTCTCGCTAAATATAAATGTAAGGTTATAACGAGTGCATTCCAATGATCCTGATTTGGGCTAGGGCTATAAATATTAAATTCTTCAACTCTAGTAGTCACAGGGATGGCTTATGAACACCCCCGAAAAATTTAAAAATATTTCTTGAAATTTTCAAAAATATTTTATCAATTTTAGATATAATCAGAGTTGGGCAGTACCTCTGAGATCCTTTTGTATCTTATAGTCAATATCTTTTTGACATTTTTAATAAGATACTAGTATCTATCTTAAATCTTTTATTTTGAAAAAAATTCTATATCTTTTTAATTTTCTTAACAAAAAATGTAAATTCTTTTTAATATTCATGTATGAAAAATTTACATATAACATAAGATAACCTTATTTTCTTCGTGGAATCTTATATTCATTTCTTTATTTTTTCCCCGCCATATTTGAAATATTTTGAAAACCAAAATTAGCTGGAAAATTTATATCACATAAGATAGATAGATAAAAAATAATGGTTTGGGCGATAGTTTTGAGAAAACTTTTTCCTATGATGATGAATATTCCATATTTTAAGAACTTATGGATTGAGTCGGATGATAAAAATAAATACTTTCGAAATATATTATTAAATAGAAGCCCTAAATATTGTACTATTAGTGTATGATCAAGCTCAAACTATAACACCAATAGATTCAACATCCAATAAAGAAGATGATGTTAAATTTTCTTTTGGCTAAACAAATATTGGTGAGTTTAATAATACAGAAAACATTGAGCTGGAGGTTTTAAATTATATTAAAGACTGCTGAATTACATTAGAAATGTGTAATTATTATCCTTCCATATAGAATATTTTTCAAAATTTAGTACTACAATGTCTTCCTCAGCTCCAGCTGAAAGGTTATTAAGTTTTGGCACAATGTTAAATATGCGGGAACGACAAAGGGCTAATGATAAATTATTTGAAAAATTGATTATCTTAAAAAACAATGATTTGATTTAATCTTACTCTTTTTGCAAATTAATATTTCAACTGTCATGAATCGACTAAAACTAATATTAAAACTAAAAGCCTGATTATTATAATTTACTCGTCTTTAAAGAATTTATTAATTATTGTAAATATTTATTCTTATTATAAAGAAAGAAAGAAAGAAAGATAGAAAGAAAGAAAGAAAGAAAGAAAGAAAGAAAGAAAGAAAGAAAGAAAGAAAGAAAGAAAGAAAGAAAGAAAGAAAGAAAGAAAGAAAGAAAGAAAGAAAGAAAGAAAGAAAGAAAGAAAGAAAGAAAGAAAGAAAGAAAGAAAGAAAGAAAGAAAGAAAGAAAGAAAGAAAGAAAGAAAGAAAGAAAGAAAGAAAGAAAGAAAGAAAGAAAGAAAGAAAGAAAGAAAGAAAGAAAGAAAGAAAGAAAGAAAGAAAGAAAGAAAGAAAGAAAGAAAGATAGAAAGAAAGAAAGAAAGAAAGAAAGAAAGAAAGAAAGAAAGAAAGAAAGAAAGAAAGAAAGAAAGAAAGAAAGAAAGAAAGAAAGGCATGCTATGTTCTTCGCCAATAAATAATAAAAAAAATTATATTTTATAAACTATTTTAATTTAATGGTTAATAATAATTTTATAAAGGTATCATGTATTTAAGATACTCTACAAGTATCTTTTATCTTTTCGTTTTTTTTGAGAATCGCCCTGTAAGAACCCATGTTCTATAATTATTGGATTCATTAGTTAACTTGATAATTTATACAATACCCCTTAATCAAAAAGTAAACAAAAACATACAAATTAAAGACAAAATTTTAGAACTTAAAAGAATTTTATAACCAAAAAATAAAAAACCAGGATTTCTAGTGTTAAAAGGCTCGATTTTTTTTAAAATGGTTTAACCCATTATTTTAACCAAAAAATATTACGCATGCCCGGTTGCTCATGGATGGCAGAAAAGTTTGGATATCTATTAACAAAATCTCGAGGCTTGCGTAATATTATTTTGGCTAAAATCTTAATTTAAAATAGATTAAATCGAGCCGTAATAACACTACTTTTGAGCAGACTAATTTAAAAAAAATATATATAAATTTAAAAGTATATAATAATTTTTATTTATTAGATTATTTATAGTTAGTAACAGCATTTTACTGAAATAGAAATATCTTTTGTAGACATTTAACTTATTTTGGTAAGAAATAAAAGATAATTGTTAATTTTATATAATTATTTTAAATTATAAATAAATTGGATAATGAATAGGTTAATTTAATTTCGTAGAGAAATGGGTATATAAAATTTATTGATAAAAATGAGGGCAGTTGCGGTTGGAATTAATTTTGAATATGACTTTATGTCAAATTTAATCATCTTGTTTGATATTAATTATAAAATAAATTATTGAGCTCACTTTTTATTATCATTATTATTACTTTAATACTTTTTACAAATCATCTTTGTTTATTTCTTATATTGCTTCCATTTTATGGCGTTTTGTGTTATATTTAAAATAATACAATACATATGTCGTATTGGGATATGGAATCATAATTCGGAATCCCAACCTTGAATCCCCACGTTTTATTCGAGATCTTTTTTTAAAAATATTTAAAAAATATTCCGAATCCCCATGAAAAAAATAAATAATTTAATTACCTTTTCTTCTCTTTGTTGCGGCTGGAACCATATAATTAAAAGGCCAAAATAAGAGATTTAAAAAAAAGTAAATAGTATAAAATTAAGGCATATAATGAATGAAAAGGGATGAGGTTACGACTTTTTTGTTTTAAAAAATATTAATAAATATATTTATAAAAATCCGAATTATTGCAACAATTTTCGTTGAACATTTAAGCAGGGACGGTTACGGTTCAGTATGTAAAAAATTATAAGGGTTACCTTTTGATTGCGGTTCTTTTATAAAATTGCAAATTTAATTTAAAATTTATTCACACTCACGCCGTGACCCACCGTTAACACCATGGGTCAAGTGTAATTTCAAGGCCCGCGACCACCTCGTTTAGATAAAAAAAAATTTCATTGATAAAATGGTTTATTAAGAAATGGATCTTTCATGCTATTAAGAAGTCTTGGCAGTATATGAGGTAGTTAAACAAATCCATAAAACACTCCAACTTTATTCATAATTAAGTATATCATAATTATATTTATCTATCCATTAAAAAACAATATAAATATTATAAATCATAATTATCCCGGTGCACATGTTCTTCATTCCCACAGGTCCCTTCTTCATTCCTCCCAGCTGACATCTTCTCCACTAAATCCAATATTTTCACTCCAAAATAGCTAACAAAGGAATCCTTAATAACCAAA